TTGAATGACGACATGCGGCTAAACATGTCATCACTGGTCAGATCAGGGAGGAGAGCAGAGAAAATTAAGGAGTCCAACATTTTTTTGGCAAACTGACACACCGAAGCAACACTAATTTTAGTGACCTCCGATCGGCGTAACCGGGTGTCATTACCGCCAGCGTGAATAACAATCTTACTGTATTTAACCTTATCCTTAGCCAGTAGTTTCAGGTAGGATTTGATGTCGCCCGTTCTGGCCCCTGGCAAACATTTGACTATGGTCCCTGGTGTCTCTAATGCCACGTTTCTGACTATGGAGCTGCCAATCACCAATCCATCCAACCATAATCCATCCATCCACCCCTCATCCACCAATCATCCATCCATCCATCCATCCATCCATGAGATGATGAAGATGAGGTACCAACAGAACCTCTCCACTCGTCTCCATGTTGGTTCTGTTCTTCAGTTGTGGTCCATCTTTTCTACATTCAGGAACTTCATCTGATGTTCACACAGACCCTGGACCCGACTTCACCACAGAACTGTAGACCTGACTGCCACCCAGACCCCCTCCTGCACAGGAAAAAATCCTGACCAGCAGCTTTCCTGCCCGTGGAGCCTAGCAACAGCCTTCCTATTGGTCCAAAGTCCGACAGCCAAAGGACCGACGGGCTCAGAACAGAAACCAGCCTCCACCCACAGAAAAAACTGAAAATAAACCTGAAACATGATAAAAAACATTTAGAAAATCAATCAGATAAAAGAACAGAAGTTAAAACTGTTCCTAAAACGAGTTATTTGCTATTAAAGGGGAGCAGATTTCTGTGCAAAGTGGATCAGAACCAGAACAGAGACACTGAGGAGGGATGAAGGGTCATTTATTGGCAACATGTGAGGCTGGATGCACATCATCATCATCATCATCATCATCATCATGTCCTGTGTCCGTCACGCTCAGTGGACTCGCTCAGATGATCTGGGGCAAACAGCGACCCAGTCAGAACCTCCTGTAGAACCCAGCCTATCTGTAACAAGCCAGAACCTGGTTCCTGGGCCAACTTTAAGGTCTCTACTGAGTCCAAGGTGGGCTGAGCTTCCCTCTGGCCCAGTGGGCCGGTCTGGACCGGTCAGTAGGGCTTCCCTCCCATGGTGCCCAGCATCTCTGTCCTCTCAGCGGCGGTGGGCATGTCCGGTTTGATGCCGTCTCTTCTTCTCTGGACCATAATGCCGTGCTGCAGAGAAACACAGGAGGGTTAGTGGAGCTCTGGTACCGACTGGTTCTCACACCGCGCTCTGGTCCGGGAACTTACCCAGAACTTGCGGCAGTTCTTGTACCTCTGGAAGTAGGCTGAGCACATGCTGCGGTCGTAGTTGTAGGCGTCCAAACACCTGTGGGACGCATCGCTCTCCTGAAACGGGTCGGAGGGATCAGCTTAGAGCAGAACCCGCCCTGTTCAGAATCAGAAGTGGCTGCAGCTTACCTCCAGGCAGGGGTTGATGTCCTGGTTGGAGACCTTCCTGGACTTCTGGTCCATGGTGGATCTGGGAGTGGATCCAAACACCTAAAGGTTCGGTTCTTCTCTCTGACCCCAGAAACATACAAGAGCAGAAATACACACATTCAGATTTTATTTTCCTCCTTCCAACCAGAGAAACCTGCAGCCCTTCATCTCCAAGGCCGAGTTAACCACATGCTGAATGTTTTACTGCCAACTTGGTGAAACCCCGGCACAGAGCCTGGAAAGAATTCAGGACGCAGGTTCAGCTGTTAGACAGAAATGTTGATGAACACGTAGAGACCTGTGAACACGTGACTAAATAAGCAGACATGCCAGAAATGAGTGCTGGCCAGAGACCATCATAGACGGATGAATGTATAAAGGAGGCTGGCCAGAGACCATCATAGGCGGATGAATGTATAAAGGAGGCTGGCCAGAGACCATCATAGACAGATGAATGTATAAAGGAGGCTGGCCAGAGACCATCATAGGCGGATGAATGTATAAAGGAGGCTGGCCAGAGACCATCATAGACGGATGAATGTATAAAGGAGGCTGGCCAGAGACCATCATAGGCGGATGAACGTATAAAGGAGGCTGACCAGAGACCATCATAGGCGGATGAACGTATAAAGGAGGCTGGCCAGAGACCATCATAGACGGATGAATGTATAAAGGAGGCTGGCCAGAGACCATCATAGGCGGATGAATGTATAAAG